TGCTGCTGGAGCTGCTGCTGCTGGTGCTGCTGCTTCTGGGGTCAGGATGGGTCTGGCAGCCACACAGAAATCTGCAGGCTTGCATGTCTACATTCATGTTGGGCGGAGGTGGGTGTGTTCAGTTTTCTTCTCTACAAGTTCATGTGTTTGTATGAATGCCTTCGGTAATTAGGTACTTAGGTAGGTGGGTGGGTCGGTCGGTCGGTAGGTAGGTAGCTGGGTTGGTAGGCAGGCAGGTAGGTATGTATGCATGCGTGCACTCGTATACACAGACTAGGCAGGTCGGCAGGTAGGTAGATACATACATGTCGCTCGACGTCACGATCCGCAAAGCCTTCAAGAAAAGCTGCAGTGTTTAACGCTGCAGGCGGCGCTAGACCCGAGGCCCTAAACCTCCAGGCCCCAATGCGTGTCCAAGAGCCCTCCCCTCCGACCTTCAGTGGTCGAAGGTCGGGAAAGCTCACGACATCTCTCCGAATTGCAGTAAACTGAAACTGCAGCCCTGGACATTTAGAGAAAGAACACACCCCCCCAAGTTACGGCTCTACCCAAACCTGAGACGCAAACCTTAACCCATAAACTTCTTACAGAACTTCTGCGGAACCCCACCGCACCCTTACAAACACCTGATAGGACAGAGCCTCACAAACACAGTTGAGTCTTGGAAGCATAGTGTCGAACCTCATAGAACCCCTATGCGCACAAAAAACACAAGGCCCTGCCTAAACTGTTAGGTGCGATCCACGAGGCGCTGGCCTTCTCCCAACTCCTGCGAGGGGGGTCCTGTGTTAGCCCTCGTTTGAGGTCCTCTAGGGGTGTTGCACGGAATTACAAGGATGTGAAAGTGCTCTATGATAGGGGGATAAGGTGCTCGAATCTAGAAGTCCCACAAGAGAGTTATCAGGGCAACTTCTGGTGATCCCGAAAACCCTTCACGCAGCCATTTTGGCCCAAGTTTGCTGCACTACTTCTCTTTTGGAGTGGAAACGCAGGCATCCTCCTTGCGGAAAGATGGAGGCCAAACTCTACTACCAGCCGGAAGGCCCCCTGTGCCAGAAGACTGGGCGCATTCGAAGCTTGCTGGAGAGCTTCCTCTTGGAGGTTGCCTTTTCCTCAGCTTAGAGTCCGACCTAAGCCTGCGGGATTCTCCCGGCTCAAGGCGAGGAGAGGCACACGGCTGAAGTGATCCGTGCAGGCCAAGGGATACCGGAAGTTTTGCTTGGGGTTTGGGATGGCAGTCAAGTGGTGCTCCCAGCAGGTCGTATCATAGGCTGGCCCGGTCCCTTCATGTGATTTCCGAAGCAGGGTTGTCCGCATTCCACTTTGCGTCGATCGTCGATGCCATCACTGGGCAGTGCAGGCGGTTTGCTGGATCTGTCGGGGAGAAGGAGCTGCCCCAGACCATCACAGTGATAGACGGTCTGGTGTCTTCTTAGGTGGATGGAAGTGGCCCAGCCTCCATTGTACGCTTCTGCACTGTACGTCCGAGTAGTGCTTCCTCTTCGGGGGGCCTGCCGAATCCTGGAGCTTGTCGCCAGCAAGGAAGAAATGCTTTGCTTGATATGCCACTCGAAGACCCTTGCATGCGGGGATGGTTGCTGAGACCGATGAATCGCCTGTGCCGGCGCAATGGAGAGCCATTCGCTGAGCACGATCCTCCTATGCGGCTCAGCTCGATGACCGAGGAGGTCGATGTGGCCCTTCGAAACGATTCGACGGTTTTCCAACTAGCTCTCCACTCTGCGAGCCCCTGTGCGACCGACCCGGTGTCCCCGGAATTGGTCTTCGATGCACAAGCTTTGGGATCGTGGCCAATGTGCCGGAGCCAGTGCTCTTGTGGTGTCGTCCTGAACCGAGCTAGCAGCATGAGCCGAAGCATGTGCAGCGCCATTCTTGGCAAGAGATTCGTCGTGACCTGGGGTGATTCTCGCCATGGTTTCGGTGCCACTCTTGTCGGTGGATCTGTCGTGACCTGGAGTCATTCGTACTGTGGTGGTGACAAAAGTGCTGTGCAGGACCAGTTGAAGCATGTGCAGCAGATCCAAGCCACTGTGCTCGTTTTCGCTACAGTTCTTGGCGATGGGTCTGTACGGCGACAGAAGAATTGTGCAGGTGCAATCGTGTGAGTTGGACGCCAAGCGTGCGCGAGAGAGTCGAAATCCTGCACCGAAGCCCAACCCCAGAAAACGCTGTAAGATTCGATGAAAAGGCAGAGGTTGTGAGTCTACTTCTGGTTTCGTCGTAGTCGGGGTGTTCCTGTGATCTGTCGGCCTGATTCCTGAGCTACTTTCCTTGGCGGTTCCAGTGTGGCCTGCTTCATGTGAATGGTTTAGTTTAGTGTTGAGCGCAGTGGGTCTATTTGGGTCGATTGTTCACTCCGTTTGCACGTGTTCTGTGCTGTTTCAAGGAGCTGCATTCGCAAAAATCGGCATTGAGATAAGATGCCAGTTGGCAAAAAGAATCAATCAACAAAGAGGTCCTAGCCCTTCGAAGCTTGGAACCAAACAACAAAGATTTCTAGCCCCAAATGCGGTGCAGGGCGAGTTCCTGAAGCTGGTGCGGCACTTGCGCGAGGAGGAGCCCTCACGGTCCCATGCATATTTCAGGAAAGCCCTATGCCCCAAAAACTCAACGGCTTTTTTGAATCCGAAGAGTCATAAACCCGAGGTTAAAGAACTTTAAACTTTAACTTTAAAGCCCCAGTAACCCCAACCCTAGAACCTTCAGCCCTAAATAAACCCTAAAACCTGAACCCTCTTTCTGCTGTCGCCTTGTTTCCTCCGACTGGGCCCTGAAGCTTCTCCCAGGATGCAAATGCTCGGGTTCGTGGTTTGAGCTTAAGAGCCGAGGTTTAGGGGAAGCAGTGCGGTTGTGCATCTTGTTTCTGTCTTGGTTGAGTTGCTGCAGAGCAGAAGCACGAGGGGTTAGGGGATGTTTAGGGTTTAGGGTGATTGCAACAAACAGCACAAAGAGAGGTTTAGGGTTTCGGGCAGATTACGCAAAGAAGAGCTATGGGGTTAAGTGAGTTTAGTGCTGTTGTTGCCCTGAGATGAATCAATCCACATGAAGCCTAGGATGTAAACTCTTGAAAGGGCATTCCGACCGACCCCAGGTCGTTGCATGTTCGGCTCCAAGCTTGCGTTTTAGCCTTCTATCCTCCTCGACGGGCCATGCGCTGTGGGTATCAGAAGAGCCAAGCCACACCTCCCAACACCTCCCAAAGCAGGATTAATAATAATAATAATACTAATAATAGTAAAAATGCAAAATTTCTTTAATAATAATAAAAATAAAATGCCGCACGACGCCGGTGAGACGGGTTCTCAGGGCAGCTCTAGGAGGCCACGGCCTTCTCTTATCATGCTTAAGGCCCTCTGTGATTCCCTGCCCTGAGCTAAGGAACCCTCTGCCAACTGTACTTCAACATTCCTTCATTGAGGAGCCTCTAAATCCTTGTAAGCCCTTATGTAAAGCCTTATGGCACTCTGATGGAGCCCGTCAGCCCTCGGGGATCGGGGAGACTTCACAAAGCTTTGATGGAGGAATACACCGTGGGTCAGAGACTCTCAACTTATGCAGGAACCCTGAGAAACTCTCCAGTTTCCAAGGGCTTGTTTGGAAATCATCATCAGGAACCGGCTGCAGAAATGTAGGTTCTTAAGGGTTCCGGTGTTTTCATTAGTTGAAGGGGTTTGGGTTTAGGGTTTAGGGTTTAGGGTTTAGGGTTCCCCCAAATGGCCCGGGCCCTGGCCGCGGCGCTGTTGGTCTCCGCCGAAGCGGAAATCCGCGGCCCGGGCTGCAAGGAAGCGACGGCTCTCTCTCTTCCGATGGTTTTCAGCCGGGTTCTATGTGGGTTTCATAGAGGCTTTAGGAAACAGGGTGTATTTACGTATGTTGTTTCTTCAATGGGCTCTAGATGTCTGTAGTGTTTTATATGGCTTTACAGGCACTGCTGATTAACATTGGGATCCCTTGGAGGGTTTTGTCGGATTATAGGGGAGTGTGTGTTTGGCTAGACCGGGCTGCTGGACAACGTGGTCTGTTGCAAAAAAGGGGGTGAGTTTATAGAGATTTTAGGAGAATCTTCGGGCATCGGGGCTTTAGGATTTCAAGGGGATTTTGGGCTTCTGGAGCTGTAGTAGAGGTTCAGGCTTAAGCAGGTTCGGGGGTTGAGGGTTCACGAACAGGGTGCCTTAAACCCTGAACCTTCATCCCTCAACCCTAAAGCCGAACAAAAACAAGGGTTCGGTGGGGTTGACGACTTGGGGCTTCCGAGCTGACCCAGCCTTCCGGCTTTGGCCCTTGGCGTAGTCTATCGTAGCTCAGCACAGGTCTTCAATGCGAAATCTTGAAGCAAGATCCCTGATGGTCTTAAGGTTTGAGCTCCGCAGTCCTATGCCCTGAACCCCCACTGTTGCACCCGCTTTTCCTGGTATTCAGGTGGAGTCGCGCCGGCAGAGCAGGCTGCTAGTTTGTGCACAGCAGCTGGAGGTCTCGTCGTTGAGGGTAATCTGTCGGCCGGATCTTATTGGCTTTCATATCTGTCCTTTTTGGCTGGGGTGCTTATTCCAGAAGCTCATGACTAGAGTTGAGCCGGGTGCAAGGAATTTCGTACTGCATTCCCATGATTTTCAGCGTAGATGCCTGTCACGTGAGCGGAAAGCTAAATGCCTCGTTGGTGAACACACTCCCTTACTAAGAGTTCCAAGCAGAGATCCTGATATTCAGGGTTGCAATGAGAGGGGTTGACTTTTCAGGGCTTTACATTAGGCCTCTTCAAGATGCCAGCGATTCTGAGCCGGCTGCACACTGAGAGCAGAGGTCTTGCGGGGGAGGATGGCCCATCATGTGGCATCTGTCTCTGATTCTCCTGACACTCCTGCCAGGAATCAGTTTGAGGACCCTACAAATGCTCCACTGATAAGTCCCCGAATGTGGGTTATATCATTAAAGACACCCTACTTATAACCCCACTTAAAGCTATCCACGAACCTCCAAGTAGGCCCATTGTGCGAGCGGCGTCACGGCGGGCTTTTTTGCCTCAGGCCCAGTACGCTGCTGCCACATTCGCCTGTGTGGGCCCCAGCTGCTGTTGAAAGGAGGCTCCTTGTGGCACGAAATTTTTGATATTCACTCAGATTAGGGTTGAAGCTTTAGGGCTATAGGATGAGAGATCATGAGAGCTGAACCTCCTTATGCTCAGACCTCCAGGCGATTGCACTAAGTCGCGATTGCACTAAGTCCTGTTACAAAAAGGGATATTGGAGTTTTTCCTACAGCTCATGTCTGAAGCATGGATCACCAAGCTCTGAAGCATCAAGCTTTCAAGCGACAAAATCCCAGCGCCACTCCGCGAAACCAACGAATTAGCCCAGAAAGTTGTATATGTTAGGGATTCAGGGTGTGAGGTTGAGAGATGTTGAGGGTCGAAGCTTCAGTTTGCGTGCGCATCGCTTAGTTAGGGGTCTTTGTGGACGCGTGATCCCTCGAAATTTAACGGCGAAGCTTCGCACCAAATTATCTGGATGATGTTGAAGGCCTCAACTCGGAGCCCGAACGTGAGCAACTTAAACCGAAGACTGCGATGTGAGCAGACCGCCTAGCCATGCCGCAGGCAAAACAAAACGATAGCTCAAATCAAAACCCCACTGATCAAAAAGCTCTGATCAGATCTGGCGAGTCCGAGCGTCAGACCGGAAACAAAGTGACATAGAAGAACCCTTGAAGCCTTTAGCCTTGAGCAACCCTTGCACCTGCGAAGGTGATGGCCGGCAACTTTCGTCCGAGGCGGTGAACGACGACTTCTGTGACTGCGAGGCAGCCCATGTATCTCTCCATTGAATGGAGGCTATCGCATTGAGGATTTAGGTTTGAGGGTTGATGCATCCGAAGTACTGCGAATCTTGATGCTGAATCGTGGGATGTTTTCTTGCGGTTGCCCCTTGGGCCCTTGCAGTATGCCTGGCACAGCCAAGCTAACCTTGGAAGGATGGCAGCGACGAGCCCGGTACGGCCGCTTACCCTGCAGAGTGGATCCAGTATGCATGTGTCTTAAGACTAGGGGTCCTTACTGTTGACTTCGCCCGGCTGAAGAACGGCTCCGGTTTCAAATGGGGTCCTTACGGAAAGGGTTCTTGATATCCAACTTATACATTGGGGGACCTCCCAATCTCATTTGAAGCAAATCTGCCTCAAGCTGATATCAACCCCTCTATCGTTTGAGCTTTTGTTTGAGTTCCTCAGTCAACGGCCGTGGAGTCTATGGGGATCAAAGCTGCGAGCCTAAACGCTAAACCCTAAGAAAGCATCTGCCTAAAGGGGCCCGAGTCTTCACCCGAAGCACTCGAAGCTCCGCTGTCCGACTCGAGAACTCGATCTTGCATCACTACTGTTGATGATATAAATCCTGCATTACCTTAAGGACCCTGAACTATGAGACTTATGGTATATATTCTTGATGAAGGGTAATGCAGGATACATATATATATATATATATGTATAATCAGCAGTAGGGCCTGCTTTAAGGTCCCTCCACTTCGGGAGTTTCCCCCCATGACGAGGCCTCAAAGGGTACCGAAGCCAAAATTAGACGAAGGAAGCCTGCGCGGGGTTGAGCAGCACGCTGTACTACTGCCGGGGCCCCCAGAGCTTTTGCTAAGGCCTTGACGGTTCAGGGTCAGGTTGGGGTCATGATTCAGGGGCGTGGGTTCAGGTTTTAGGCTTCTGCGTTGATCTTGGGATCTTTGGGTCACAGCTTTGCTGACAAGGACAACGGTGCTGCTGGTGTCGTTTTCCTTGCCTGGATCTGCTCTGTCTCGGGTTGCAGACACAGGCTGGACGGTGGGTTCTATCTGCGGACTGCGCTCCCAGGTGCTACTTCCCTAAACATTTTTCTTCCCGAGGTACAAATGAGCAGAGCGACCCACTGTACGTCTACGCCTCGCGAGTCAACGATGGCGTCTGCGACTGCTGCGACGGCAGCGATGAGTGGCAGGCCATGATTGAAGGGCTGAAGGGCTTACTTCAAGGGTCGGGGGACTGGCTACTCAGGTTCAGAGTGAGTCGAAAGTACATGATGCATTAATTCTAACTGAGCTCAGGTTATCCCAAGAACCCTCGGGAGAGCCCTGATTCATCCCATTTTCCGAGTGCTCCCGCAGAAAGGATGCATGAATATCCGGGAGTTTCTGAATCGGGTTCCTTCATGCGGCTTGGTGGTTTCTTCCTAGCTCACAGAAGACACACCCTCCGAACAAAAGCTGCTCAACCGGGAGAAGGCAGCGGGCAAACCCCTGCTGGTACGAAGCCTCCCATGCTGCACACGGCAGGCTGAGCGGAGACAGATCAGTTGCCCCAACACCTGTGCAGAGGAGAGAATCCAGTTGCTGCTTTTCTGCTGGCCAGGGATCTTTTCTGGCTGAAGTCATGTGGTTGAGTGTAAGGAAACATGTTCTAGATCGGTATGTATGTATGTATGTATGTATGTATGTATGTATGTATGTATGTATGTACGTATGTATGTACGTATGTACGTTTGCCATACATACAGATATGTTGACTTCCGATCATGTGAGGATACCTCTGTAAGTAGATCAACCATATGGCTTCTGCCTACAGAACAACCTCAACCCTGAGCCCAACCTCCCTTTAGAATGCTACAAGACATGCAAGGAGCCATCTCAAATCTTGTAACTTGTGAAGACCCTCCTTCAACCCCTGTAAAAATGGGGGTTCCGAAAATAGGGGACCCTAATATAGTACCCTAAATAATAGGATCCCTATTATAAGGACCCCAAAATAAGGTACCCCTAATTTTCGGAAACTCCCAAATGAGAGCCTTTTGGGATTTGCGGAGGAGGGCCGAGCTCTCCGCAAAGAACGGAGCCGACAGATTGCCGACCTCCATGCGGGCATCAAGCAACTCCTCTCGCAACACCGGGGGCGGAGATGGTAATGACATGCCCTCTGAGCCCTTGACTTTAGTGACGAGGTATGCCGTGCATCTGATTGGGCTCAAGTGATGTGGGGCCCCCTCGTACGGGAGGTTCTGGGGATTTTTCAGGAAGGGGTTGCTTCTAACTTCTGGGGATTGCTCTGCCCGGCGCACTGCCACGGGACTTCCATTGCGGCTCTCATCGCCTCATTCCTCTCTGGCTTTCTGTGTGCCTCGATTTTGGCAATCCTCCTCGTTGCATCCCCTCCCTGCATTTTCCACCTCCTAAGACGTGCTCGGGAGCCTGAGCCTGCTCCTCCTCCTTCAGGGTCGGCCAGGCTCGCTTTGTATGGGCGCACCCGTCTCTGACGACGAGGCTGTTACCAGACTTTCTCTGGAGCTGGAAGGGCTTCGGATATCCATCACCCGCTCCAGAGGCTCCGCTTCCTTCACTGCTGTGAGCTCAGAGGGCCCGCGGACTCCACCTGCTCGCGCTGCGCACCGGGCCCCTTCTGCCGGGTCCGATAACTTCGGGTTTTCTTTGGTTGAGGACCTAGGGGTAGTCCCTAACCCGCCTTCCCTAAGACCCGTGGGCTCCCCCGAGCCGAGGTCCTCCATTGAGGCCTCCTTCCCTGCAATACCGCGCAACTTGTTGGACTCCGCGAGGACACTCAGGTCCGCTGTATCCTCCCCCGAGGAGAGGGCTAGGCGTGCTTGGCTGGCCGGCTGCTGGGCCGGTGCTGTGGCTGCTGGACGTTGTACCAGCCCAAGCTGTACACCCCGCCTGTCATTCGCCTCGAGGATCTACGTGGTCCTCCGCACCCCTGCCAGCAACGACGTTCGCATCGCGCACTCCAGGACGGAGTACCTTCTTTTGGTGGACAATTTTAGGAGTAACCTTACTCTCTCGCACGGCTTCCCTACCGAGACGGAGGCCAGGATCTACGTGGCCGGGGCAGGACGCATTTTCCCCTCCCCAGCTTCCCGATGATCATGGACGATGTTATCCCTGCAGACTCGGGGGAGGTGGTCCTCCTCAGGGTCAACTACCAGCGTGCTCTGCAGCTCGATGGCGAGTCCTCGCCAGCGGTGGGCTACTGCGTGATGCGAAGGCCCGGAGGCCTACTCTTGGCCCTCCCTGCAACTTTTCTTCCTCAGGAGGTGCTCTCAGAGGCAGCCCTGGACGACTTTGCTGGGGTCCTTGGTCCTTCGACGGTTACATCGGCTCCCGTCGTAGAACTCGCCGAAGGGGGAGAATGGGTCGGCGTCCACCCTACCAGGAACATAGATGTGCTCCTGGCGGACTTCGCGGACTCCGCCCTCTCCGGCATCGAGCTCCTCGACGAAGGCCTATCCAGCTGTGTTCCTTTCGTGGCCGAGAACCCCCACCTCTTCCCGCTGGCTACTGCTTTGGTCGAGTATGCTGTGGCCTGGGCCGGCGTGCAAGGAGCGGGTTACGTCACGGCCGAGGAGATGATTCCGGACCATGCTTCTACCGCCCCCCTCTTGGAAAGGCGTGCGAAGGCAGTGCCGGATGCAAAGAAAAGGCCTACGGTGGCCGCCCTTGCAGCGCAGCAGACGGAGATCGTGAAGACTTTGCAGGCCCTCGCGACACAGGTTCAGGCCCTCGCAAAGGGGGGCGCTCAGGTTCCGGTGGATCCGCCTCCTCAACCGGTGGCATCAGTAGCTGCAAGGCCGGCTTTGGTGGCTCCTGTGTCTTCTACAGTGGTCGCCCCGCCGATTGGCGCGAGGACAGTGGCAAACCTGCTGGGCCCTCCACCCCGCGGGAGGCCTGCCGTGAACGACGCTGCAGAGCAGGACCCAGGTCTGGACGGGCTGCCGTTGACTGCTGGAGAGCTAGGGCAGCCAGACGAGGGCAGCTCCATCACCGCGGCCTTCCTGGCCCAGAGCCGAGCCCTCACCGCTTTGGTGTCTCAGATGGCGGGCCAGAGCGACCCTCTTTCGGACCTGGCTGCGAGCGGCAGCTCTACTCAACAAAGGGGTCGGCGGCCAGGTTAAAGCTTCAGAGGGAGCTCTCCTCTCGCACGGGCGTCTTCTTCGAAAAGGTCTACGAGGCCGCTGCTCGCCGGATGGAGCCCACAGCCGACACCTCGCAGCTCGCTGCAGGGGTGGGCCAGGGGCCTGTGATGACAAGATACATGGAGCGCTACGGTGGCTTCCGAGACTACAGGACCTGGGGGCTGGTCCAGTGGCAGCTGGCCCAGGCTTTCGACCTACTAGCCACCGAACAGGTGGCGGGCGCAAAGGACGTCATCGCCCTCCTGATGGTCATGGTCGATCAGATCGTCCTCGACGCTGGTTCTCCCGATCTTGGTTGGCTGCTAACGCTGCAGCCGGATCCGCCAGCTCCGCTCTTTACAGCCCAGCTGAACACTCCGGGCTCATCACTGCGGTCGTGCTCCCACCTGTCGGACCCAAAGTGGGTCGCCACTGCGTTGTCCTACATAAAGGAGATGGAGACTCTGTCGGCGAGGCGTGGCGAGGCAGCAAGGAAGGCCCCACCCGGGGCTCCGGATCCCCCTGCGGGGAAAGGACAGTCCTCGCTAACTCGGAAACAGCAGCGCGCAAAGCTGTGGGCGGAGAAGAAGGCCTCCGCAGCAGCGACCCCAAAGGCTTGAGGCGTGGCTCTATAAAGGGTGGGGTTGAGTGTCTGGATGTTAGGTTTCTGGAAGCCAGTTCCCAGCGCCCGCCCCCTGGCCTAACCCACATGCATGCCCGTCCTTTTGAAACGGGCCCCTGTACTGCGGCACCAGGTTCCTGCCGTCGCAGAAAGGCCTCCGCCCTATGTGCCGGTTCTTCCTCAGGTCCTGCTGTAGGCTGCACAGGTGAGGTTTCAAGTCCTCCTGCTTACACGTCATGCACTTCGAGCCCTTCTTTAGGTCAGGCTACAGGCTGCGCAGGGGAGGCACCTAGCTCTCTGTCAGACACGTCACGCACTACGAGCTTAGCCTCCGGTCCTACCACAGGCTGCACAGGCGAGGTTTCAAATCCTCCCGCAGACACGTCATGCACTACGAGCCCCCACTCACCTTCAGGAGCGCCAGGCCCCTCTTACAGTTCGGGGGAGCCGAGCTTTTGCTCCACCTTTGACTTCTGGTCCTGGGCCTCAGCTTTGCCTAGGCTCGTGCTTCGATCGGGGACTTCCTTTGCTAAGTTCCTCCGGTCGTCCTTTTGCATCAGTGATAGGGGCCCTGCTGCCCCAAACACCGCCTTTTTTCCTTTGCCCGTGCCGAGCCTTGGGTTGTTCGATGCAGGCATCCTGGAGTCCAGTCCTCCGGGCCTCTCCTCTGAG